AGGCTAAGTTTCATAGCTTAAAGCAGGACGTACTGCCTTACCTAGTCCGGAGCCAACTGGTTAGTTGCTCAAGATTTCTGTAGTGGTATGTTAAGGGATTTTTGTTCCAAAGTTCTAACGTGTTTCAAATTTTCTTAAATTATCATCAGAGATCAGAAGTTTTGTTCAATGGTACACCACAAACTGAAGAAAATGGATCTGAGAAGGTTGTGTCTCAGAGCAATGAACAAATGTTATCTCAAATCCTTTCCAATGCGACTCATCCGACCTTTCATCAACAATATGAACTGGGTCGTAATGGTTCTACTTTTGCTGGAAGAACTCATAAATGCTGTGTTTATATTGCTGAAAGCAGCAAGTATTGTGCACGCTTAAATTCTATTCAAGCATACAGCGACATAAATCGAGATGTGAGTTCAATTAGTTGGTAGAACTTTTTATTTAGGATAGTGTGTCAGTTTGCCATCATGTTTAAAATTACTTATAAGTATATTTCACATAAGTCGAGATAAAACTTTTGTCACATACTTATCTTGTATTCTGTAAATCATGATTGAAAAGTTGCTTGGAAGCCATTCCAAATGGGCCCAGTGTTAAATGGTTCTTCAGGATGCACTTTGCTTCCTTGAGATTCAGAAAACTTTTTGATGTGACAGGTGATAGGAGAAGCTAGCCATTTATCAGGGTATTCCTTTTCTGCTCACAACAATATCATCCATCCTTCTGCAGAACTTGGAGCAAAAACCACCGTGAGTTAAACTATCTACAAACACTTCACAACCAATATATATGCGGTCTTTATGTGGAAAACATGCTGTGTAATTCTGGTATACAATGTTGATTATGGTGACTTCTTTTAGGTAGGACCACATTGTATGCTGGGTGAAGGTTCACAGATGAGTGACAAGTGCAGTGTTAAGCGGTCTGTTATTGGTCGTCATTGCCGGATAGGTGCCAATGTTAAGGTGGGTTGATATATTAGTAATACAAGTTGATTGGAAGTTTGCCTTTTGTTTTTCAATTAATCAATGACATGGAGATCTTTATACTCGGTGGGTGGTTAGCATTTGGGCTCCTATTAATGTTCTGTTGTATTGAGTGAGGTTTATGTGTCATTTTATTTGAATTTTCTTATCCATCTGCAGATTGTTAATTCCATAGTTATGAATCATGTTACCATTGGAGATGGTTGCTCGATCCAAGGTTCTGTCATTTGCAGCAATGTGCAGCTCCAAGAACGTGTTGTGCTGAAGGATTGTCAAGTAAGTTCTCCAGCTCTCTCTTGCTTGCTTGGTTATGTTGGAAACTTGAATTGGATTTGATGTCGCCTGTTTTCCCAGATTGGAGCAGGTTATGTTGTCACTGCGGGAAGTGAGTACAAAGGAGAAGTATTGGCTAGGAAATGAAAATGACGTGTGAAAGTCTGATGGGGAACATGGCAAGTTGAATTTTGTTGTGCCTGGTCGGTTATGGCTTGGAGGAAATTTTTGGAGTCGTCGCTAGAGCCACGAGCAATGGTGTGCTCTTGGCAACAACCAATAGCTCATTGATTTTTGCGGTTTCTCTTCTTCATTCCCCAACCCCAACCCCCCCCCTAAAAAAGAAAAGAAAAAAAAACCCAAAAAAGTTTGGCTCTTTTTTATTTAAAATTTTTTTTGGCCCCATCCCGGTTGAGTTTCCAAGCACTAATGTTGAACCAGAGTTTAAAACACATCTTCAATCAATCATTGTTTAGGATCTCTGCACATAAATGACTACATACTGACCTGCGTTTTACTTTATACCTAAATGGTCTGCTGTGTAAATGCTGGCACTAGAGGTTGTAGTTCGTATTGTTTTATATTACGAGTTTTATGGTCCATTCAAAATCATCATCATTGCAACTTGCCCGCCGTTGATCTTTCCCGTGAATCATACCGGCTCACATGTTGCGGCCATGAACATTTACCGCGCTCTGTTTTTATATGTTCTTTTCGGGGCAAAAAGGCATGTTAAACAGTTAAAGTTTACAATCAAAGCAAAACATCACATTTTAACTAGAACTGTGTATTAAAGGAACGAAGGTGATGGACGTATTGACTGAAATAATGCAATCATGTTCAAACTAACAAGGCCTGAAGCTAACTGAACCTTCTACCTGACAACACGTTGTTTGTTGCCACTGTTGCTTGTACTAAGTGCAATATTGTGCACTCAAGACACGATTCGAATTGTCACGAAGCTTGTGGTAGTGATAGGCGATAATCTTATCAAAATGATTGTGCACTAATGCATGGGATATGACTGTACTATAATATTTACTTTGCAAATCGGAGCGTCCATTCTGCTGCCATATCATCGTGCTTTCCTTTATCTCCCAAGTACAGGTAGGCAATGCCAGGGACAGCTGCATAACAGCTGCATTATTTGCCATACCAATAACATCTTCATACTTTACTCCAAAGACATACATAGATTCTTCGTATAAAAGTTATTATAGGCCTTGGCGTCGCCAATGCTGGTACGTATTTGACTCCCGAAATCAACTTGACTCAAAACTAAAGACTTGAAACAAAAAGCATCAATCCAGTTAAGTCACAATACACAATGTGCAACATTATATCAACTTCCATTTTCGAAAAATTAAGACATCCCATTAATTCCTCAATTTGATTTAGAAGGGACGGGTCGGAATTTATCAAAATCGATCTAACTGCAAGTAGCACCTCAGTAATAGTTAGTCGGGACTCCAATCATCCTTCAATATGCCCAAACTAACTCAGCTAGTAGTGTCTATATGCAAGTAAATACGAGTCTTGCATATGACCTGCAGGCTAGATGTTTGATTGAGGAATTAGACTTGAGAGACCACTAACAAGTTACAATTCAACGTTCTAGACCGAGAGACCACTAACAAGTTAACATCCAATATTCAGCAATTCAGACTCAGCCAACATTACGTTACAAAACCATAAACCAGGCAGCAAAAGTTCCCCCGTATGGAGTCAAAAGGTAAAACTTATATGCCCTCATACCTCGAGATTCCCCCTTTTATTCGCATTTGTTGTACAATTTGGCATATATACACACGTTTGGATCGAGAAGAATAGAGAAGAAAAGAGGTGGAAGGATTTTTTATTTTTCTTTCTTACCTTCTCATTTTTCTTATTGGTTTGAATTAGGATGAACAGTGTTTCCCATTTCTTCTCATTTTACCTCCTCAATCCAAGCGTACTTCGAAAGAAGTAACTAAATCTATTATTAAATTTCTCTTCTTAACCTTCAATCTCCTCCATTCCATGGTAAGTTGAAAGTTTGGAAAGGCTAAAATAAATAAAAGAGTTCAGTAATCTAAATTTTGAAATTATTGCCTTTGCAGAAAAATAAATATTTAAAAAAATTTAAGAAAAATAAAGACAAACAAGAGAAATAGATTGACATGTTCGGAGCAATCCGAAGCAATTATAAAAATACAACATAATCCCTTTCTCCAGTCATGACTCATGAAGTACTCTACTTTTAACTCGAACCTCACATGGTCAAATGACAATTTACTCCATTTTCATGGAAAACAATTATAACTCCGCAGAACTACTTGACGAAGAATAATGTTGCTCAATACACCTGCGGAAACTTAAAGGGATATTCACTCGGAAATATTATGTCAGGGAAAAATAGGCCACCCTCATAAGGTGTCCCCACAACAAAAGAGAGGTTTGTCAAGATTGCCTTCTCATGCTGATGCAACTTGTAGTTAACCTATGCTCACATATCACTAAAACTCTTCGAATTCAATTAAAAAGAATGCAGGACTTATTGGTAGACCAGATTTCGCTCAACATACTTAAAATTTCTGTGTGGTAGGCATAAGCAACCCCGATCACATGTTTGGCATGTAGTTTCATTACAGACCAAAAAAGAACTCTCTCTTAGGATATGGCTACAATTTATTTGGAGGTCGACCTTCTAATTTCTCAATTTATTTGGATGTTATACTCCCCACCTTCCAGTAAACTTGATTGAATTGAATCATTATAATATTTAGCAACGGTCTAGTGGAAGTGGCCATCACAATCTGGCACATACTCACCATGTTCTATTGGAGCCAAAATCCATAACCCCATGTTCAGGTTTCAATAGACCTATGAAACAGGCGAAAAAGAAGACTGCCAAAATAGAGTTGTAAACACATATTCAGTATAAAGACAAGGAGCAAATGTTAAGACCTGTACTGACCGATTAAAGCTGAAGAAGATCTTCCTCCTCCCCCACCCGACATCATGATCTCTGTACTGACCGATTTTCACTATCAATCCACGAATATGCAGAATCACCAGAGTGAGAGGCAATGTTCACTGCTCCAAAAAAAAATGAAGGCACAAAAAGTGCGTCCCAAATTTCTAAAATGAAGCATATTGTTGCTTTCTTCGAACTCTGATTTTTAGGTATTGAGAATTTCTTAAATTTCGGAAATTTTATCTTATAAATTGCGTACCAATTACTACAGAACTTCAGTGATGCTTTTTTCTTTCGAGAGAATTAAAAAAAAATCTCCAAATTACTAAATCTCAAAATTTGATGCAACACTTCTATAGATTTTGAAATAAACACATTTTTATAAGAATTTTTTATTTGAAATTTAGTAATTTCAAATTTTTTTAGAGGAATTCTCTCTTCTTTTTTCTTCTCGATATATGTTCAATATACATGTAAACAAAGGATTTTGAAATAATACAAGTTTTTTATATTTTAATAATATGCATGGGATTAACCGTTCTAAACTTTTCCTTTCCTAACCATAAGATTGCAATTTCAACCGTCCAAAGTGTAAGCAAGTCCTTCACTCTTTCCTTAGCTTTTAATTTTTAGATAACTTCGAAAATAGTGTACGTTGTACGGACAATAGATTCTGAAGTAAAATATGCTGTCCATTGTACCAAAAAAATTGTGCCATTTAGATTTTAGACTTCTAATATTTAGCTGTTAGGTTTGTGAGCATAACGGAGAGACCTCGTGATAAATGGCACAAATCCATGTTGGATCAGAGGAATCAGTTAGTCTTCGAGCTATGAAATGGAGTGTTGGCGGCGGTAGCAGAGCCAGCCATCCATCCAACAAATGAACCTCCCGGGGAAAAACAACAGAAAGACAATGCTGAAAATGAGAACAACATTGTTCTGAACAAAGTCAATGCCAATCTTGAGATTTCAGAATTTCCCGTTTGTTGTTATGCTGCTATAAGGGCTCAATCTCAGGTTCCGCAACTGAACTTACCTTGTCTGTAAATTACAATGATCCTAACCTCCCAATCAGTACGACAAATGGATTGATGGGAAAGATAAAGAGAAATGGACACAAAATTGATTATAACTTCATTCCGCGAATCAATTTTTAGACGGCAAACCTTCAGGTCATAGCAACACCAATGCCAAAAATTACACTAGATATCAGATTCTGAAGCATGGATACTCGCAGGCTCCAACTTCCTCCAACTGCGCTTTCGGGACCCAGTGATAAAGGAGGAAAACTCCCTCCTGTCAGACTTGAGTTGGAACTGAAATCAAAATATGCATGCTCAGATCAGATTTTATTATAGAAACTACTTTTAATTTACTTAATTAAGAGACAGCAGCACTTCTCACCTTCCTGTGTATCTACAGGAGCCATGACCTGCAACACAACACCCGGCATTAATTGCTTAACTTCTCAGAAATCTTCAACACAGGTTCACCATAATACCATGCCATAAGAAGTAAGCATTTATTGATATACACCGCTCAGGGGACTAATGTTCACCGAAAAGAGAAAAATGATTACGTAAATCGCTTTAGAGTATAGCGTCTGCCTATTAGCATATAAGAAATAATAGCTAGGTCAGCGGTCTGAACATTGAATTATGATCTAAGAAAAGCACAAACTTCTGAATACCCCGAGCGAAAACACTTCCTACTGTTGGAAGTACTTCTATAAATCCTTATAGGAGAAAACAACTACCCTTCAAATGCAGTGGCACCAAATTCAACACTCCAATGATGATGATCATGAAATGCAAATTACACAGTAAGAACTCGCACAAATACATTCTCAATTTTATAGTTTGTTTTCAAAGTAGGCACCATTAAATTTCTATGACTTTCGGCACGAGTTTGAAAATGCAATACCTAATTTGTGTTGCTTGATAAAAATTAGAAGAGCAACATATCAAGAAATCCTGTTTAATAAACATAGATAGGCCACGCTGACTTACTAGGATCCACAGCAGTTGTTGTAGCTGTACCATCGAAGTCACATGTTCCGCCAGTAGCACGCATCTTTTGATAATAATCGTTGTAAGCATAAGAGGCATGGCTTTTTACATTATTAGGTGAGTAACATGGCTTTCCCGGTTGAATAGCTGCGCAGTTAGCATGACCTTGTCCACAAGCCCAGTTCAGGCCTGCTTGCAGCTTATCAGAATCTGCACCATCTTTAGCAACGCAAAAAACTGCTGAAGAATTTCCAGTACTTCGACCAGATCCAATCAAACTCAAAGGATAGACAGCACTTCCATTAGTACTAAGAATGCCCCAGTTTTTTTCTGATATAGGCCCATTCCTCTTGTCTTCATTAAACAATTCATATATGTATGTATTAATGGCTATTTGTGGCTGACTAGGTGGACCAGAACCATTTAGGACTCGTCTAATCAAATTATTATTGTAGGTCTCAGCATTTTCCACAGTAGCATCAGGTTCATTTGATCCACCAAATGATGGCCAACCAGTCTCTGTGACAATAATTGGGATATTCGAGAAGTGGAAAGCATCTATAGAATAATAGGTAGCATCAACCATAGCATCAAACATACTGCTATAATGGAACAGAGTGTTTGGATCAACAATTTGCTTGACTGAAGGAAGTGGTTGAAAAAGAGCATATTCAATTGGGAAAATACCATCTCCCTTGGTGTATCCATAATAAGGATAAGCATTCAACATGTACGAGGAGTTTGTGTTCTTCAAAAACTGAAGGAGTTGGTAAATTGTGGAGTTCATAGAAGAATTAAAGGTGGCAGTGGAAGGAGGAAAAGGCCTAGGTATTACGTCCATGGACTGTGGAGTTGAAACTTTGACCCGAAAGTTAAGGTTTGCAGCAACCAGGGCTCTGTGAAGATAATTCATAGCAGGAACTAAAACAGGGGCAACATTTGGGATTTGGGTAAGAACCTCACTACCAACTGCTATGGATGTGATATTGGTGGAAGGCATATAAGCTGCTACATTTTTATTGACCCAGGCTGCAGCTACTGACGGAGATTCTCCAATCCTCAGTAACTCCTCATTTGTGACACCAACAATTACTTCAATACTGGAGTTTGCAAGAGCCTGCAGCATGTGAGTATTGGCATCATAAAGGCGCACATGAGTAATTTGATGGGCTTTAAGAATAGCAACAACATCCGTGGCTGATGGCAGGTTAGAAACATCAGTTCCAATGTTTACTCCCACAAATGCACCTGCAAGTTCAAGAACACAATCAAATATCAACTCAAAGAAAACATGATATCTATTCAGTCATCACCTTGTTGCTTCCCCACGTGGCTTTCACAAATCAGTTTTTTTTCCCCCTTTTGCAATAGTCTTGTAATCCATTCATATAGTGCAAACAGCAATTTGAACCCTTAATTATTGCTTCATCTATCAAGCTAAAAATTGAAGAGCGCAGGACATTAACTTGGAAAAGACAGAAACTCAGCTTGCAATTGTCTTTATCAAGAGATGAGTTTCAAGTATTTCGAAGTATCCATAAATCCTTCCCCTATTTAAATCTGATTGACCAAATATAGATGGCCAGAAAGGGGTATGGGTTAGTTACCTGATGTGCAGCTTAAAATTGTAGCAGCGAGGAACAAGACACTTGCAAGCCATCTTTTAAGCCTCATTCCATCCAACACAACTTCAATCGCTGACGTAAGCCCAATGTCAATGGCTAACCGGAACGTATGGCCCTTAACCGGAATGTATGACCCTTAACTATCGAAACCTAAACAATCAACTTGCAATCAGATTTTCTGCGACTTGAATCACCAATACATACAGAAACAATTAATTCAAAGCCCACCACTGGGATCAAACAGCAGCTTTGAAGGATCGAAGACTTTCAAAAATTAAGAGACCAAATAAATGCTGACGATAGTTAATTTTCTTTATATGATGATAATGATAAAATGGGTGTGTGTAAGCGTCGTTGCCCATTGCCGCAGACATTTGTTAAATAAGTTAACTCCGACCAAAGCATTCAGGCAAGCATGTGAAAACGACGGCAGTACTTCACTTTGTTCTCGAAAAAGAAATTAAGTCACTTAAAAATCACCAATATCAAACAAATTACTAGAATCATGGCTTAGCTAAGAAATGCAAGAACAGTGGAAGAGATGCTAAGCAGAATTTACCTTTTTTCCCCCTTAAAAGGCATGGCTAAAACAAAAGAATTCCTAAAGTTATTCAGGAGGCAAATGTGTACAAAGAACAGAAAAGAAGCACGGAGGCCCGCTGAATGTTTTAGAGATTTCATCGCTTTAATCGGCACGTCATCAGGTTATACTTCACTCGTTAGTTAGAAACTCAGAAACCTACTTTCGGCATAACTATCCCTTGGGAAGGAGAATCCCGGAAGCCACCTTAGCAAATGGTGAAGCTATACTGGTACCTGATCTGATCAACCCAAAGAAACGAAACGCAGTTGTGGTTCATAGCTGCTGTAGCACCTCTGCTAAGAAGACCCGCGAAGAAATCCCCGAACAGAAGAATGCTAGGGGCAAAAAGCGAGAATCCAGTGAGATTACCACTGAAACCCACACCCCCCCCCCCCCAAAAAAAAAAAGGAAAGAAAAAAACAGCAAAAGATGCTTCCTTTTAAATGCCTAAGCTGGAACAACGCAAAAAAGTCACTTGTAGCAGAGTGGCTAAGTGAACATTTGCAGAAAAGGCAGACAAAGCTACGTGAACACCGTAATAACTATTGAACAATAACCCTCCTACGCATTACAGATTCATGGTTCAAAGATAGCACTGCAGATTAGGTGAAGTAGAAAAGTAAGTAAAATGGAAGAAGAATGCATATTGATGAACCTCTAATGGCAGCTTCGCTCGAATCCAAGATACTGAACAGCCAAGAGAGCAAAAGTCTTACTCTTGCTGCTCTCGGGCTGTCTCCTTGTGCTTCTTTTTCTCCCGAGGGGCATCGAGATAGTCGCCGTGCATTTAGTTCATATTATATTATTTATTGCATTTGTAAGAATCAGGGGTTGTTTGGATAGAAACTAAACCATAGTTTCAAAAGTGTTTTTATGGTCTACGAAATAAATATGTAGGGGAATTTGTTTCGTTTTATAAAAAAGTGTTTCTGAAATTATGATTTAGAGGTTGCCAAACACTTTTTTAGTAAAAGGAAATGATTCTCCCAATAAAAAGGCAATTCTTTCTCCCCTTTGCATCGGGTAATTAAAGTGAGAGGGAAAAAAAAACTCAATAAACTGAACATGAGCCGAAAGGTCATGACGCGTACGAACCATCTGGTGGGGCAAATCTAATGGGGCTAAATCACTAAAATGTGATTTTTTTTTTTGGTAACATTGATTATTAAACAGTGTCAGTAAACACATATAACATCACAGTTGGCCCCAAAAAAAAAACATATAACATATCTTTCTTTCTTTTTTGACCAAATCAAGCCTGATGTCCAGATGCCGGTGAGCAGGTGGTGATAAATTGTGAAAATATTACAAATTTTTAAATCAGGATAAATATGCTGCGGAAAAATGCTAATGAAAAATAATATTCTATACATTTCCTATATGATATATGAAACTAAGTAAATTTTATGAATAATATGATTTTTTTGGGATCAATATGAATAATATAACTTGATGTAAAATATCAATATTATGAATGTTGGTACTAGTTAGAAACGCGCCTGATGGGAAGGGTGGTGTGAAAGGTAAAAAGGTTCATTAAAAAGTCAGAAGAATGGGGACATCCCTGATAGAGGCTAATTAGAGAGCAGCAATAGTACCTGAAGACTCTCTCTTACCTGCACTGGCACTTTTATTTTCAATATATAACGAATGGTAGTATAAACTTCAAAACTGATTTGTTTTAAAGAAAAATATGAGGTGTTATAGCAGATGTAATGGCATAGAATCATAGATTTACAGTGAAGATAAAGCACACAAGGGAGGGAGGGAGGGGGTGAAGGGTCAAATTCTAAGGAGGAGATGGGGGAATTAGTTTGCCCCCCAGGGGCTGACAAAGACATGGGAATTTTCAAGACAGAAAAACAATCCTCCTTCTTAGTTGTAAAGTGCACTCCTTGGGGTGGCCACTGGCTACTACTGTTTTATTTTGATGGTGTCCTTTCATCCCGCCCCGCTCTTTTCATCTCAAAATTCAAACCCCAATTACATGGAACGCATAACAGCTGTAGCCCAAATATAGCGACATTCTTCTTTGTTTTTTTCGGCCTGAGTATAGCGACATTCATTTCGCAAGCCCTTTTCTCATCCTGCTTTCCTGCTTACTCGTACTATTTGCATTGTGGACCCATCTGCCCCGTATTCAGTTCTCATGGTGGAATTTAGGTTTGGGATTACACTAATTTTCCTTACAACCTATTATATTTTGAATCATAATTTTCCTTTAACCAACATATATTATGAACAAAAAGGAGTACTATTCAATCTAATGTTATCTGATCATATTTAGTATTCGTCTACATTATAACTAACTTGTACTCTATTCTCACATATCAATATTAAAGTTTTTCTTTCTATTTACAAATCATTCTCACCTTTCTCCCTCTTCTTTTTTCAAATATAAATTAAATAGGAATGAAATTGAAAGATATTCTAGCTTTACACGTCTCAAATTACATCCACCCATTTCCCTATGCCCCTTGCACAAAATCAAGCCATCCAAATTAAGGCCTGTTATCTATTAGAATCCTAACCCCTCTCCTTTCAACGCTACTTTGCATGATTACTGCAATCAGTACAGTATGAACACGTTGCTTCACTTCACATTATTTCATCTTTATTTTTTCTCGTTCAATAACTTCATCTTTAACGCGAATCAGATCATTCGTAAAAGTAATAACGATTCCCCTCCCTCTTTTAACCACCCTTCATTATTCAAACTGATGTCATAACTCGTTGTTTCCATTTACTTCATGACTTTTTATCCTAATTTACCCCCTATTTAACCTTCTTAATCATATGCATTGAAAAGCTTCCTTTTTCATGAAAAGAAAACTTCTACAATGCAAAAAGCAGAGATCACCGCGAAAAGCGAACAAACATTTTGAAGTACCAATCAAATAAATTTATAGAACTCATAAGGAACAAAATAGTAGATGGAAATAAAAAACAAATATGAAGAAGGCTGAACCAAAGCGAAGCAAAACAATGAGTAAAAAAATATCATCCTTTATTTTTAGCAACAGCAATGACGACTTCGCATATAATCTGACTTAATATCGAAAAACAGGCATGAGGTAAATTATAATAGTAACTCGAATTGACAGAACTCAAAGCATATTACTACCAAGTAAAGACTGCATTGATTCTAACAACCCTCATTAAAATGAAATCTTATCAACATAACGGTCCCTCATGAAAACGTCACTGTGAAACCAAGTTTTCATTCTAACAACGAGGTAGTCTGATTCCGCTTTTCAAGTTACAACAGAGGAGAATTGTTTATATTTTAAAGCAAAATTCAACATCCGCATGGTCCAACTTGTGAGGGTCTGAAGTATCTCATTGACTGGGGGACCTACCGCGGGCCGGCTCCCTTGGATAATCATCACCATTTGGAGTCTGACTGCGGCTCCGGCTTGGGTCCTTAGCTGGACTCTGAGTCCGACTCCGACTCCTTGCGCCACCATTATTGGGTGGAGAGCGTGAGTATGACCTCTCCCTGCTCTGTCGCGAGTATGATCTCCCTCTCTCTTTTTCTCGACTGTATCTTCTATCTTCAGGTGACACAGATCTGCAAGAATGGACAAACACCGCATCACATTGGAAAAAGAAATACCACGGCATGTTCATCCAGCACGCCTAAGCCAAATAAACAAATAGCCAAACTTGCACTTGCTATTAATAATTACTCCTTCTGGTCCTCATTACAAGACCTTCCTTAATATAAGACCCTTTTCCAAAGCATTAATTATAACCTAAATGTCCCCTGCCTCATTATTCTGTAACCAACCAAACAACCTCCTGTGACTAATGGATTTCATTGAGGGTACATTTAAAATTTTAAAAACACTAACTGATAACTAGTTTTAAATAAAGTCATTAATCTATGTCAAGTTGTTAATAGATCCTTGTAACAAACATCGGAAGGAGTAGCATATATGACGCAAAGGCAGATGGAAGCAAAGAATAGTTCATTATGTTGCCTAGGTTTTACTATTTTAGGTGAAACTTCCAAACATGCCACAGCACTCAAATTCATTCAAGTAAGTCACAATAAAAACAACTAGATTATGAGTCCGGCATTTGCATAGTCTAAACCGCACTATTATTAATAGCCAATGAATAATGCAGATTCCTATAGACTTTATATATACATATTGATTATTATTTATAATATTACATATATTGATTTAGGATGTTGAGCTTCCGTTTCATAGCTGACCTAAACCATCAACTACTGCCTGGCCTTGCATGTCACCTGATAGTTTTATCACGTGTTCAGCGTTCTCAGACTTCCAGGCAGCAACGATGTATTACGCAACATAGAACCTGACTGGCTATAAATAATAGTTTCTTTGTGCTAAATAACAATACCAAAACCTACATTACCATATTAACACAATTATAAGCAACATACCTTGAATACTCCCTTCGTTTAGGAGGGGAAGAATAATAATCACGGCTTCGAGACCGAGATCTATGACGTGGGGGTGACCTAGAGTATTGAGGAGAGCGAGAATAACGAGGTGGAGACCTTCTTCGATCAGAAAATCGACCCCTATGAAGCATTAACATTAAACAGACTATTACAATTTCATTAATTTTGCTGGAATGAGTAGAAACTTATAACTGTCTGTCTCCATAGATCCTAATCATAAAATTTGGTCAATAAACTTAAATTAGTAACAAAATTAATAAGAATAATGGAAGATGGAAGTTTACTATAATAATCAAATAAAATGATAAGATGAACAAGAACACCTGAATAAGAGGACAAATAAATAAGGTTTATTTAAAGTTATTGACAGCCCCTCCCATTCAGAGGAAGGTGGAATCCTATCGCATTTGAAGTGCTGTTCCAATCACAAAGTTACATGCTTCCAACTGAGTAAATCCTTTATGCGCATCACTAAATTATGTCGGGACAGAATCAAATATGACAACATAATTACTAATTACCATTATCAATTTCTAAAATATGTCAGCATTGGGTTCAATATTCACCGCAAGTAATAAAACCTAGTCCCAGGCTCATTTTATCTACTGTTAAATTTAAAAATTAAAATGAAAGCACCATCTTATGATTAAGACCTTGAATCAAGCCTGTGCTACAATTCCAGTTCAACTCAAATAACAGTATCCAAAACTCTTTTTTCACTTTTTGCTCACAACCCAAACCCTCATCTTCACATACCCTTGGCACCAAATCCTATATGCAAGAATCATAACAAAAAACTACTGCAAACCCCGCTGAGATAGCAAGATCAGTTCAAGAGCAATCTGACGGTGCTAAGAAGCTAAGTGGTGTGCCAAAACAGATTAGTTCGTCCACGTTTTTGTGCAAATACAGAGTGCTAATAACATGCACCTTATGCATTCCAAATTGAGCCCCATATGTCGAGTCCATAATTGACAAGGTTGGACAAAGCAAGGAAGCCAAACTTACCTTCTTTCTCTTGCTCTCATGTCAGCAGGCTTCTTTCTGTTCTCCTCAGCAAAAACAACGGTCAACTCTCGACCAAGAAGAATTTGACCATCCACATGATATTTTGCATCTGCCGCATCAGCAGGATCTACATATTGGATAAAACCAAAGCCTCGGGGTTCTCTGCAAAAAGGAACAGGGACAAACAAGGAAAACCCAAACATCATCAAACTAGGAAGCAAGCTCAACAAAAGACAAATTGCAGTAAGAACTTCGCATACGGCAAACCTTTACTAATGCAACTTGTTAAAATGGTCCCCAACAGCATTGAAGGACATGATAATAAAGCAAGCACTAGGCTGCTGACCTTGTTTCAGTTTTAAGATCACTTGAAATTCTTCAAAACTTGGAACATCTTGACAATGTATTCAAACTCAACTTCCTTGAAATCTTCACTACCATAAACCTCTTCACAAGAACTCTAAATACTTGATTGATGCCTTCAAAACTCTAAATCACTGCTAAACCTCAACAACCTCAATGAACTTATACAACTTCAAATTATAAAAGTACAAGTTATCATAGTAAAATCCCCAACATATAACAGAGAAGTCAAGCAAAAAGCTCACAAAAACAGTGCCTGGACTCTTTGCAAGGCAGAGTCCGGTAACATATTTGAAAACCTCATTAGAAACAATAATAGAAACTTGATCGATAACGATATTGAAGTTGAGAAGTTCAGACACGACAATTTATTACCTTATAAACAGATATAACATCAATTCCAATGGACCGAACACATTGCAAATAATATAATATACACTTCAAGACTAGAAACCAATTTGCAGAACACTACGAAGCAGGTATATTTTTGCAAAATAAAATTTAATAGAGTAAAATATGAATTATAATTTGAAATAAGATAAATAAAAAAACATGGCATTGTTTTTCCAGCACCCTGTAAACATCCATACCCTACACCTATTTTGTAATTGCTCACCCAGTATAATAATCTTTCGGGAGGTAAATGTCCTTAAGAGCACCAAATTGTCCAAAAAGTCTACGAAGATCCTCAGGCCTGCAAAATTGGGAAGGGGGAGGATGATAGAAACAAATTGAGTATTTCAGTTGAAGAAGTGTGTTAACAATGATATGGATGTGTGGGCAAAATATCAAAACCATATATGACGACGGAACGATCTAGTTCAGTTTGGACAAAATATTAGAACAAAGTGCTCAGGCATAAAACCAAAAAAAGAATAGTCGAATATAAAAGATATGTTGTAGGGAACATCTTCCAAGCATCTTGAGCACTGACTCTATAGTAAAATGCATTTCGGTCCAACTCTTCACATATAGCAAACCTATATATTCCGCTCCGAATTAAATGTGAAAGAATTAAAGTTTCATAGAGTGTCAAATATGCAGGTTTCGCTGCTTTTTCTTTCTCTGTAAGGTTGTCACATAAAGCACCAATGAGGCCAATGAGTAATTGAATTTTGCTTTTAAATGAAATGATTAAATTCCGTTGCATCTCACATCGTGATAGTGATCTATAGAAATAATATAAGGTTAGGAATAAATTAACAGTGGTTCACAAGGGAAAAGGCCATGCCATACATCCATCCCCAGTTCCATTAGCCAAGCCAAGAACGAAAAAGTGAACATTTGGAGTGTATTGAACTAACCTGCAGTCGTGGCGAAGGTTGCGAACCAGAAGACTGGTGGGAAGATCTCTGCCACGGCCGGCATAACGACCTCTTGGGCTAGGACTTCTTCCCCTTCTGCCATAACCCCTGGGCGGCGATGGACTATAGCTCCTTCCTCTCATCTATGCCCTAATCATGAAAATTTTATGATTAAAATGCGCTGACTAGTAACAGGAGGCAGAAGCCAATAGCTCCCTCCTGACCGCCGTAGATGAAAGGCTACAATTTGGGAGCGAAAAGCGGTGATAAGGGACGCAAGGAAAGAAGAGGAAGAGAGATACCTGAGCAAGTAGCAGCGGAGGACGAGATCGGATTTGGAACAGGCGGCGGAAGAGGGGGTAATGATATTTTCGAGGCTGCGAGGCCGCTTACCCTAAATAACAAATTCTAACATATGTATATGTATATATATTCAAAAAAAAAAAATCGCAGGTTGAGAGAAGAATTCACAAATTTATACTTTGTTTTGACGGTGAGACTTCGCTCTTCCGCGTGGACTCACCGTAAAATATGTGAAGCGAAGAATAATAATAGCTTGTCCCTGCGATTTGTTTCAGTTTCCAAACAGATCCTCCGGGTTGTTGGAGCATTAATTCTAAATATAAGTCATTTATAATATATTTAATATTTATTTTTTTATTTTAATTTTATTTCATTTTTATTGGATAAAAAAAAGAGATGTTCATAAGAATGACCGGTAAATGTAAAAAAAAAAATTATAATAAAAGTAAAATTAAATTTTTTATCAATTTAATGCATTTATTAATATGAAAGAACGTGTTACAAGTACCTTATACTAAAAACTAAATGACAAAAAAAAAAAAACTTATGCTTAAAACAAGAGTAATGCTTATTTTCTCTTTGCTGGGCTTAACAGCTGCTTGCCTGGTATGTTAGCGGTTATTGTCTTTTTAATGTATGGTTTTAGCTGATCATTAATAAAATTGTCTGTCGCTAAAAAGCAGAGGGAAAAAACTGCGGTGATTGGAGGCGAATGGAGCAAGAATAGTCCTCCTTTGCGCATGGATGATTTAAAGTGTTGTGGGTTAGAGGCTTGCAGGAGTAGAGACGCTGTATTTTTCCCTCTTCTTTTGGCTGGGCGGGGGTTTTCACACAGAGACGCTGTATTGAAATGAGAAGGGGGCGTTTAAGATTTGATTCGAAGGGCCATAACCGGAGGAGCCTTAGCCTGTGTTGAGAAGTTGTGATTTGATGCGAAGCAGAGGGCCTTAGTCCGCAGCAATAAACGGCCGCTTCTCTCCATCCACGATTGGCCCAAATTCCCATTCCCTCTGTGTGGCCCAACAGCACCTCTATCCCCATCCCATTTCCAACGCAACACATCCGTCTCCATGTGTATGTACCGTTTTTGTCCCTCATGACCATGATTTTACATTCAATTCGATGCAATCATAAAAATGACTGATCAGATCTGATTTTAAACTTAAAAACGAGGCCATAATATATTTTTAAAAAAATACAAGTAACGTCACCGATCTCATTAGGACCAAGCTCTGTCATGAATCATGTTATTTGCCCCTTAATCAGTCAGTCAAATGAAGTGGGAAATTACAAGAGACAAGTTCCCAATCGCGGAGAAGTACCGAGTTATATGCAATGCGTGGATCCAAATATAGCGGAGCAAACCCGAATTGAAATGGGAAAAAAGGACGCGGCGAGCAACACCGCCGTCCTCAGTGACAAGTCAGCAAGGAAGTTCGCAGCAGCGTTGGTTGCCGACTCCGAGGGATCTACCCTTTTAACCTCCCTTTCACATTCTGCTGTGACTTCTCCAACAACATTTCAGAAGCCAGCTGTTCTGAGTTTGACCCTCCACATTTATATAAATTTATATAAATATATATATATCCATTCACGTCATGATGCTCCCCATATACACTGTTACTGACGACCCATCTGATTTCCATGTGCCCCCAAAAAAAATCATCAGACAAACAAATTTTGACACCTGATTCTCCGTAGTACCTTTTCTCCTCCTCTACTCTTAGCCATGAAATCAGATCGCAGCCGCCACTTTCTTAATTGTGTTCCCACCAGCACACTATTTTTTACACCAGAAAGGAGTATTAAAATGGAGAGGTAATGCGATCGGATATGACGGGCGAGGTGGTGGGTGAGTGGGTGGTTGTATTTGAATGCCCGGATCGGAACAGGCCAGCTTGTTGTTGTTGGGTCGGTCAGGTGTGTGGTTTTATTTAGAGTTGACTCTTGGAGAGATCCCTTTTTCCTTGCTGGGGCCCTTAACCAGTCTCCAAAATGCCGCTTAATTAATTACTCTAACATGGTGCATTTACATATAATTAAGCACAACATCAGATGCAAGTAGTATATTTTGATCTGAGAGCTGCAAACTGGCCACAAAAATAAGGCCGAGTAGACATCACGTGTTGTCCGCTGTCGCGTCTCTCTTCTCATAAATCTGGATTCGGCAAGTATAATGGAGTCTAGCTTGCAAACATTAATTTATAGCACTATATACGCATTCTGTTTATTTAATTAACTTTTTGCGGGGTCGTCGTCTCTTTAATTTGCGATATTCTCCGGCAGTTTACAAGCAAGAAGGTGGCATGACGAGAGGAGAGAGAGAGAACACGATATACCACTCCACAGTCATAAGTGGGAGGAAACGAAAGTGTGTCGGGTTTCAAATTGAGGTGACGAGTGCGAACATACGCGGAGCATTATTAATTAATTAATTAATTAATTACTATCTCCTCTTATCCTTAATACGAAAGTTAGTTGACTAATTTGTATAAGATAAGGAAGTTTGTTAAATTAGTTAGTTATTTAGATTAAGTTAGCTATTTATTTATAATAATTATATATTATCTTTTTTTAAATACTCTTGCTAATCATGTGTATCAGTTATAATTATTATTTGATGAAATTTTTAATATGTGCACGTACTATAATGACAATTTTAAAAAAATAAATTAAAATCTTATATTTAAAATTAGATTAAAAATTAAACCAGCATTTATATTAAGAAACAGATGTGAGAGTTTTTAGAAGGGAGTTGGGGTGGGGGCCAAGATTATTGAGAATTATGAGTGCTTAGCACAGGTCAAATAATTTTGAGGTCAGGCCACTCCCTCGCCTTTTGTCAGGGAGCTCTGTTTAGGTGTAGTCAATGATCTTTCATGCAGTAACTGTATGCTATGCCAGCACCGAGAGTGCGACATTATATGCAATTATTGGCCATGACCCCCGCTCATGGGATGGATCCAATGTACGTACTATTTTTACATTCATAGAACGTCTGAGGAGAGGATATATTGTTGTTTTAATGCTGATTTTGTGTCCAGAAAGGAATTACCACCGCCGGACTAAAATCAACAGTACGACGAGGCAGTTAATTTTATATCCGCGGCATAAGGCGCGTTCCTCGAAACCTCAAAGGACGAACCCAGCAGACCAGGTCACGGCCCATACTTGTGGAAAGGGCTGATGGATCCGCGAACCATTCAAAGTGTGTGCGCGGGGGTTGAATTCATGGGAGGCATATTAATAAATTAAAGAACCAACCAACAGGGATTGGGTCTAGTAGAAGGAGCTAATCTCTTATAATATGATGAATCAAGGTTCGAATTCCTATTAAGAGAGGTGTCCACATTTAGTGCCTGACAGTGTCTCGAATAGGATTACTTCCAGCAGGAAGATACTTATGCTTTAATAATAAATAAATAAATAAATAAATAAAAGAAATTGATACGGACTTGGAGGGCAATTCGAAAGGCATATAAGGATGGTTTAATTTTGGGGGACCCGAATATAGTTGAATGGGTAGATCTGGTGAGACAGAGGAGATATGGTTAGAAGGAAGGAGATGATGATGAAAAAGGGAAGGCGATGTAAATGGAGTGACGTTATGTGTGCCCCTGGGTGAGGAAAATGGCGGGGCGAGTGTAATTTCTCCGACAATTTAATTTGTTTATGAGTCTCAACGCGTCTCAGTGTACTTCCTTCAAATTCTTGGCGGACAAGGGCACCGCCTTGCTCCCCAAGCTAATCCGAAGTCCAAACTGACTAATTCCTCCTCTTTTTTCAACATCCACGGTTATCTGAATAAATAATAATGTTATATTTTCGCATCGTTTCAATTTACTAGCTTTTCGTCCACTCCGTGCGTGGATGGATATATTCTATATCTTCTCGACTTGTTTAAGGTGTTCTATCTGCGTGTGGGTGCAGTAGATTCGCTTACCATGGGTCACGCGTTTCCATCTCGTTGGATCGCCATGAACAGTGACGATGTGTCTTTTCTTTTCGGACCCAAAGGCAACATATGTCATGGAAGGGACATTTTGATTATAAGGAGCTGTAATTTAAAAACAGAGAGAGAGATACTTGGTTGACGTGGAGGGAGAGCAGTCAACAAGACATGGAAAGTCAAAAGCAGAGGAGTGTGAGGGGGGATATGGGGGTTGGGCCGGAGTCAGCGTCGGTGCTGCCCTTGTCCTTGACATCACCAAAGCGCGTTGCCTTTCCCTTTCTGCCCCGCTTTGACGCACAAACGAACTTGCCTTCAACTCTGTCTCTTTTGCTGAATTTTAATTACTTTAATATTTCCAATAAGTCTGATGATCGGGGTTTATAGTTGAGGAGGGAGATGGGGAGGGGTGTTTGGTATTTGTCGTTTGTTTAACAGGAATACATCTATATATTTTACACCAGTGAGGTGCGTAATTGATTCCGTTGAAATATAAATATGAAAATACCCGCTCCAGTGCTTTTTTTTGGGGGGGGGGGGGGGTTTCAATTCAACATATGCTTTGTGTACACTAAGAAGTAAAGAGAAGCAATAACATACAGCGATAAATATGATGAGGATAGATAGGGTATTTAAGGCCGACCTGTCCCAGTCGGTCCTTTTCAAAAAAAAATTTTGAACAGGACAAACCAAGAGGGGATAAAAAAGGGATCCCGTCCCCGTTCCTTTATTTTTGTTTCCATTTTTATCATATTTATATAATACATATTACTATTTTATTTTCATTTTTTTTAAGATTTGAGATTATTATATGAAACTGTGGATCCATTATTTAGAGTTTTTGTATTTGTTAATGATTTGAGACTATTAACGATTAAAACTTCCAACAAGCTTTTATTGTATTAAAAGCTTTTATTTAAAGTTTTTAATGACTATTATATGTAATATTTTAGGCTTTGGGTTAAAGATGCCCAAAGAAATAAAAAAGAAAACAAAAAATGTTTTTATAAGAGCTAAGCTCAAAAAAACTACAAATAGAAAAAAAAAATCAGATTTTATTCAACAGGTCTAGCAACTCAAAAAGCATTAAAAAGAATCATATCAGGACATTCTTATTCCGTCCCGTCTCAACAGGGATCAAGACAACATCAAAACAGGATAGGA